AGAGTTCATACAACCTTAACGCGAGTCATTAGATCTTCTTATAATAGGATGAGAAATTTTTTATTTTGCTACAATTGAAGGAATAAGAAATAATTTATAGTGGCGTCGCACAATTATTCGTGTCACGAATAATAGAGTGGCTCGTGTAGAATAATTGGAGGCGCAACTTTAATTCTACGGTTGTGTAATACGAGAGGAAGAATGATGAAAGTACGACGTTTCAACTAAAAATAGGGATTAATTGTTCTTAACGAAGCAACCACGTTAGCCACTTAACACCGCTTTGTTTTTAAACCGGGATCGCGTTCAATTGGTTTTAACTGGTTTATTATGTTCACCGTTTTTTTTTTTTATTATACAAATTACAGTTTCCACAGCGCAGCGTATGAATTAATTTTCCTCTTTCTAGTATTGGAATATGTGGGGCCGAAGTGGCGCACGTTCGTCGCGAACATGTCGATAGCCATGTTCTTCACGTTCGCGGCCTGCGTTTTACCGTGGATCGCCTATTTTCTGGCTGATTGGAGAATGACCTGCATCGTCACCTCGGTTCCTCTTGTCGTCGCCGTGGCAACGCCGTGGCTGATACCGGAAAGCGCACGATGGCTGGTCAGCCAAGGTCAGGTGGACAAGGCCATCAAGATACTCGGCAAATTTGAGAAAATTAATGGTACCAAAGTACCCGACGATGTTTATAGGAGATTTCGGGTAAATATTTCGTCGAGAGGGAAATAGTAATACTTCAGTTGAGCGCTGAGGGACGTAAATCACAAAAAGCAACAACTCGATCGAATGCTGTGAAATGTTACAGTTCGTGGGCGTCTTTCCGAAACTAAAGAATGTATAGGTACAGACACAGAGGAGAGATTATTAAAGAGTGGCAGACTTATGGGATTTTATGTCGTATGAAAAAGTCGGTCATTTTTTTACGCCCTTTAGAATATATATATTGTCACTGAACTAATTGTAATAAATAGAAAGCAGAACACTCGTCGGTTCTGAATAGTTGCTAGATACGAGACAGGTCCTATACAATTTCCTTCTAACTCCACTCGTTAAAGAATAATTAGTGAAGAATGAACTAATTAATTCAATAGACCTGAAGTATTCGAGATAGTAAAACATTGTATACGACCTTTTTTGTAGGTAATAGTAGTACCTACAACTTTTGTTCAAAGCATTTTTCAAAATTTCGAGAAAAAAAATTTTTCAATTTTTCCGAGATTTTTCCAAGGGGGTACCCCTTCAGATTTTGCAAAATTTTCGTTTTTTGCCAATAACTCTCAAACTGTTAGAGAT